AGAGAGAGAGAGAGAGAGAGAGAGAGAGAGAGAGAGAGAGAGAGAGAGAGAGAGAGAGATTGTGCGAGGGGAGAGCATCATGTGTTGGGAGCGCCGACGAGAGCATGACATGTTCTTCCACCGGGACACAAGCGCGTTCGGCCTAGAAATCGACCGCAAGTCCTACCGATTCTACTCCGTGGACGTCAACGGGAAGGCGGTGGTGGACGTTGACGTGGCGCTTAGTTATCGCAAGCGACACTTGTCGCACGTGCTGCTATGGGTGAAGAAGGTGGGGAGCTTCATCCCGGATGATTGGGCGATGTTGACAATGGATATAGTGGGTGATATAGTCCTGAAGCTCGTGGAGAATCTTGCGGACGAGCACGATTGGCAGTTGGACATGGGTGCATTTTTTTCACGTTCCTTGATCCGCCGCTTGTTGGTCGTGAATACCTTCATGGAGAGATCCGGATGTAGGGGAAGTTGGGTGTGGAGTGGTCGGCCGACCGGATGATTGCTTTGAGACACGACCATATGCCATTCCTCACGTCGGGTTCAGGAGGTGGCGATGGTGCGGATGACTGACCTACAGCGTCGGCGACGATGCGGGAGTGTCGAAAGTCTGTGTCTCGCCACGTGGCGCGCGGTGCACATGGCCGCTGTGATGAATTTGTGGGAGGTGGCGACGGTTGATTGGCCTGCGGCTTCTTTGGCGACCATCGACTGTCCGTGTTTGTTTCGCCACATGGCAAGCGGGGCTGTTGGCTGGTGTGATGAAGAGGGGGGGCTGATGGTGCGGTTGATGGGTGTGCGGATTTTGCAGCGACCAGCGAGTGTCCACGTCTTTGTCTCGCCACGTGGCGCGCAACGCAGCTGGCAGGTGCGGTGAATGTGTGCAGGCGCCAGGCGGCGATGGTGCGGTTGACGACTGTGGCTTCTTTCGCAACCACTCGCTGCAGAACGTCTTTGTCTCGCCCCATGGCGTGCGGGCCGGCTAGCCAGTGTGCTGGATTCCTGCCAATCGGGCTGATTGACGGGTGCGTCGGGTGGTGGCAGCCGTCAGTCATGCCACTTTTCTTCAATCATGCCACTTTTCTCCTTCAGCGACCCATCGGGTGTGCCGTCCCGTTCATGGCAGCAGTACACCCTCCACCTTGAGCTTACACAACTATGTCGGCGACCGTTCGGTCTCGTGATAGGCAAGGCGTGTGGCCAGTATATTGTGCGGCCACGTAGTGTGTTGAGTTCCGTGTGATCACTGTTTCAGGTTGGGAAGTGTTAGCAACGATAGGATGCGGAAGATTGATCCGGTTACTTGCTGATTGCTTTCGTTGTGAGAGTTGTCTTCGTCGGAACTTGTTTCATTCGGTGACGGGCTTCGATATTAGCGTGGACAACGCATTGCCGTTCGATGCTGTCGTGTGAGGTTCCCAATCCCGTGTGCTTTTCTGTTTTGACCTTCGTTCTTCGTGATTCAGATTCCTCTTTTGTTCCTTTGGTTCATGACATTCATGTTGAATGAATCTGCCACTAGCATGACGGTTGTGTGGGGTGTTGGATGGTGAGAGGGTGGATTTGGGGGTTTGATGGCTGCATGCATGCACCCACACACACACACACACTGTGACACACACACACACACACACACACACACACACACACACACTACCGCACGCAGTAGTGTGTGTGTGAGTGTGTGTGTGTGCGTGTGTGTGTGTGTGTGTGCAAGAATGGAGCGAAGACCACACTAGCGGTTTTTTTACCTCTTTACACCAGCGGCTGTTAATTTCTTTTTTGAATTCCCTGCATGCAATTGGTTCCTTTAATGATCGACGTGCAGAATTCCCAAGCGTGTCCCTTACCCAATCGTCGCTCCGAACTCTTCGTGAGCAACTCACAAACACGGTGACACACCCGCACCAACA